AGGAAACACACCACCATAACTGTGACTTAGAGGCTAAGAAGCTACCACTCAACAACTTCTGCTACCACTGCTGCTACCTCCGCTACTTCTCCCCCACAGTGCTCAAAGCTGACTAGTAAACTTGACCAGCAGTGGCCAAAGCAGGAGGAAGATGGCTTTTTCTTCCCTCCCACATTCCAAATCTTGCGCAAGTGCATCTCATTGGACAAGTGGAATTCACATCCAGAATTTTAGTTGCAAGAGAGGCTGGGAAATAGTTTTGGTTTTCTTACCCCTGTAAAACAAAAAGGTGCATGAAAGGGTACTGAGGATGCTGAGGGTCAAACGATGTTGTCAAGCACAATCATGAATCAAAAGTGCTAAACAGTTTGATGTAATTCGCTACGGAGGACACTGAGATTCACAAAGCATGGAGATAATGCCATCTCCTTGTTCAGCTGAGTGAAATACTCTTTCCATACAGCTTAAAATGCAAATTTACATTTTATCCCTTGTGTAGAAGTTATTCTTAAAAGATGACATTTAATATTGGCAGCGACATTACAGGCAAATTCCTTCAACTGAGTTTATGAATCACATTTTTTTCTAAATTAATAAATTGCTTATGAAAAATAGTTTCTTTCAGTGTGTATGCAACTGAATCTGAATTATATGTGAAATGCTATCCCATTCATTTTGCTTAGGTTGTGCGTGTATGTGTGTGTGCATATGGACACTTTCTGGAGGGCTTTATTAAGCTAGGACATAAACTGTTATTTCCCTGATTGTCCACACACAGGTCATTCAAGGCTTACATTAGCCTGCCAATGATTCTGTTGGCCTGGAGTCGGAAGGGTTGCTTCTCTGAGGGAATCACAGTAATAGATACTTATTGAGTATCTGTTCCCTGCCTAACATTTTGCTAAATGCTTTACATGTAGTGTTTCTCTTATCCTTATGACAATTATTTGATGTATATATTACTATTCCTATTTTGTAGATGAGGAAATATGCACAAAGAGGTTAAATATCTTTCTGAGTTGACAGAGCTTATAAGTGTTATAACCAGAATTCGAGTGCAGGTATTTGATGCCAAAGGTTCCACTAACTTAGTTGTCATTGAAGAGAACCTCAGAAGATTACTTGTGGAACTGCTGAATCCTCTTTTCCACTTTACTTTTATCACTTTAGCCCCTGTATTTTGGTTAAATGTATGACCATACTTAGGAGGGTAGCTGAGTTTAAGAGGGGAAGAGACAATTTTTAGCACAAGCTGAGATACCCACAAATGCAGGCAGAAGAAAAACTATGGTCATTGAATCAACTGTTCCAGAGCAGATATAAGACAAAAACCCTCTCATCTTCCCTCCTTTCGATGCTATTCAGCAGTATTAAATTGTGGAGTGGGATTATTGTATGTAATGTACATTTCTACAATGCTTTGAGTTTAGATAGTGAAAATATAACAATGTGGGAGAAAAAAACGTGTGTTTGTCCGCTGTCTTGTGTGAACTAGTTCTGAGTTACATAGGAAACTTCTCACAGAAGGGACTGAATTATGGGAATTTTTTTGCCTGTAACTGGACTGATGGCAACAGAATTGAAATGATTTCTCTTCATTCTTTAATGTATTACTCCCAGTTGTATCATTCCAGTTTTAAGTGTGGGCCTGTATCATAAACAGTGAAAGCAAATGGGAAGGGAACACTTTCCATCCAGTATAAAATTACCAACTCAACAATAAACTAAGCAGAGTTGCCCTTATCCCACAGGCATTTGGCACAGTGCTTATCAAACAAGGCACCATCAGTATTTTGGCAGGGACTGTTTTTCTTTGTGCAGGGCTGTCTTAGGGAAATTGTTTAGGGTCTCTGACTTTAGGGCACTAAGTGTCAATAGCCTAACTCCATCTTCTGGAGAAGCAGGATAGGTTAGGTGAGGGCTCTGCCTCATCCGTGCATGACTGAATAGGGAATGCTGCTTCCCTGTGGGCATTTTTTCAGGAAACCTGCCTGAAACACAGACAAGTAATTTGCTCAAAGTGGGATAACCAGATGAAAATACAGGATACTTGGTTAGGTTTAAATTTCAGATAAACAATGAGGAGTTGTTTTGTATATGTCCCTACTGGGTCTCCTGGATTTTTATTTGCTAAATCTGACAAGTAATCAGGCAACCTTAGCCCAAAGTCAGCTGGCAGATCCACGACTCAATAAATGGTGGATCCATGACTTGAAGCCAGGTCTGTTTGGTCTGATGTCAGACCCTGCGTACTTTCTACTGTTCTGAACTGGTTTCTACGGTTCTGTACTGCTTTCTACACTTGACAACTTTCATGTACAAAAACAATGCCCTGGAAAACAGAAAGATAAAGCATAATCCATGCCTTCAAATGATCTGGCTTTTCCAAGACAAGAAAAGATAATTTGGGAAGAACTGTGTATTAACACTATCTTCTTGAGGGCCTACTATATGATGAAAGCTGGATCAATTTATATTCTAGGGGAATTTTAAGTTTAAACAAGGAAATTATGTTATGCCTTCCTCTGAAAAGTCTTGTTGAAACGTTCAGGTTGTTTTATAGGGTGATGTATCTGTAAAGGAAGCACCATGAGAGGGTCTCCCTTGCTGTAATTTCCTAGTCTTACTTCTCCTTTTGTTTAAGAGGTGGCTGTTTAGGAGGCTCAACCAAGGTCATAGCATAAGTTAATTAATGGCTTTCATATATTGAACATGGTGGCCCTAAAGATAAGAATACAGCTGAGATCCTAGTAGGTTTCTTGAGCTAATGAAGTCTTTACTAAAAATTCTCAGGACTCTCAAAACTGAAAAAGCACCTTTAAACATTAACACACTTATCTTCCTGTTTGCCTTTATTAATGAGACTGTATATATAAAAGTGGTTTGCAAACTGGAAAATATATTTAATTGAAATAACAGTGAAATACTGTTTTGCAATCTGTGTTTTAAACATGAATAAACAGACATCAGAAAGCTTAGATTTACAGATGAGTAGACAAATATGTAGACGGTATCATCCTGCATGTATATTTTTGCAACTTACTTTATTTACCCAACAGTGTTTTTGAGACTTATTTGTGTTGATACACTTAGGTCTAGCCAATTTACTTTAACTTCTCTATGGTATTCTATGATATGAATAAACCAATTCCTCCACTGATGGACGATTAGATTGTATTCATTATCCATTTTGCTATTGCAAATCATACAACAATGAATAGTACTTAATGCACATGTGTATTCTTGTGAACATGTGTGAAAGTTTTCCTAGGATCGATACTTAGAAGTGATCAGTTTGATACTGGCTATGCAAATTAAAAATTACCCTGTATGATATTGTATATTATTTATGAAACACACATAGAGAGAAAAGAATAAGAATATTCACTGAGGCCAGGTGCAGTGGCTCACTCCTGTAATCCTAACACTTTTGGAGCTCAGGAGTTCGAGACCAGCCTGGACAAAATGGCAAAACCTCACTCCTACAAAAAGTACAAAAATTAGCTAGACATTGTGGCAGGTACCTGTAGTCCCAGCTACTTGGGAGGCTGAGGTAGGCGGATCTCTTGAGCCCAAGGGGTCAAGGCTACAATAGGCCATGATTGCACCACTTCACTCCAGCCTAGGTGACACGGTAAGACCCTATCTCAAAAAAGTAAAACCTAAAAATATCATTATTGAAATCGTACACAGGCACTTCATCAGAGTGGTTATTCTAAGGAGGGAAAGGCAGGAAAATGATGGGAGGGGTTTGGAGTCAAGCTCTAATATTTTATTTCTATTTCATTTTTCTTTATTTTTTTCAAACAGATATTCCCCTTTATTTATTTTATTCATCCTTCTCCCTCTAACCTCCTCTTCCTGGACTCTGCAACCAACAATCTAGTGTTTGTCTTCATAAGATATACTTTTTTAGTTCCCACATATGAGTGAGAAAATGAAGTATTTGTCTTTCTGTGCCTGGTTTATTTCACTTAAAATGACCTCCAGTTCCATTCATGTTGCTACGAATAACAGGATTTCATTCTTTTTTAAATAACTAAATAGTATTCCATTGTGTATAGATACCACATTTTCTTTATCCACTCATCCACTGATGGACACTAAAGTTGATTCCATATCTTTGCTATTGTGAGTAGTGCTATAATGAAGATGGAGCTTAAAAATCTCTTTGATATACTAACTTCATTTGTTTGTGATATATAACCAGCAGTGGGATTGCTGGACCATGTGAAAGTTCTGTTTTTCAGGTTTCTTCTTGAGGAATGTCCATACTGTTTTCCATAGTGGTGTACTAATCTACATTTCCACCAAAAGCATTTGAGGATTTCCCCTTTCTTTACATCCTTGCCAGCATCTGTTATTGCTTGTCTTTGTAATAAAAGCCGTTTTAACTGGGCTGAGATAATATCTCATTATGGTTTTGATTTGCATTACTCTGATGATTAGTGATGTTGAGAATTTTTTATATACCTGTTTGCTATTTGTATATCATCTTTTCTTTAATGTCTATTCAGATATTTTGCCCATTTTTTAATCATATTATTTGTTTCTCTGCTATTGAGTTGAGTTCCTCATATATTTTGGTTATTAATCCCTTGCCAAATGGATAGTTTGCAAATATTTTCTCCCATTCAGTGGACTATCTCTTCACTTTGTTTATTGTTTCCTTTGTTATGCAGAAGCCTTTTAGCTGAATGTGATCCCATTTGCCTATTTTAACTTCTGTTGCCTGTGCTTTTGACATCTTACACCAAAATGTTTGCCCAGCCCAATGTCCAGGAGTGTTTTCCCAATGTTTCTTTCTAGTGGTTTCACAGTGTGAGGTCTTATATTTGAGTCTTTAATACATTTTGAATTGATGTTTGTGTATGGTGAGAGATAGAGGTCTACTTTTATTCTTCTACATATGGTTATTCAAATTAACACCATTTATTGAAGACACTGTCCTTTCTTCATTGTATGTTCTTGGCACCTTTATAGAAAATGGTTTGGGACTGCGGCCCAGTGCGAGGCAGAGGTCAGCGGCACGGCGAGCCAGCGAGAGGCGCCTGCGCGATGTCCGGGCCCCTGAGCCCGCGGCGCTGAGCCAGCCGGGACGGACATGCGCGGGAGGGCGCCGCGGGGCAGCCGCCGCTCCTCCGGGGGAATGAAAGCTACTGGTTGATTTTTAAATGCCTGGGCCTCACCGGTTTGGAGATGTCCCAGAATAAGGCACAATGTCAACAGCAGGAATTGCTGCTCAGGAGATCAGAGTCCCATTAAAAACTGGATTTCTGCATAATGGCCGAGCCATGGGGAATATGAGGAAGACTTGCTGGAGCAGTCGCAGTGAGTTTACAAACAACTTTTTAAATATTGATCCCATAACCATGGCCTATGATCTGAACCCTTCTGCTCAGGAGCGCCTAATACCATTTGGGCACGCTTCCAGATCTGCTCCGATGAATGGCCACTGCTTTGCAGAAAACGGTCCATCTCAAAAGACCAGCTTGCCCCCTCTTCTTATTCCCCCAAGTGAAAACTTTGGACTACATGAAGAGGATCAAGTTGTATGTGGTTTTAAGAAACTCACAGTGAATGGGGTTTGTGTTTCCACTCCTCCACTGACACCCATCAAAAACTCCTCTTCCCTTTTCCCCTGTGCCCCGCTTTGTGAACGGGGTTCTTCCACCGTTGCCAATCTCCGAATCCCTCTCTCTGGATGACACGGACTGCGAGGTGGAATTCCTAACTAGCTCAGATACAGACTTCCTTTTAGAAGACTCTACACTTTCTGATTTCAAATATGATGTTCCTGGCAGGCGAAGCTTCCGTGGGTGTGGACAAATTAACTATGCATATTTTGATACCCCAGCTATTTCTGCAGCAGACCTCAGCTACATGTCTGACCAAAATGGAGGTGTGCCAGATCTGAATCCTCCTCCACCTCAGACCCACCGAATATTAAGAAGGTCTCATTCGGGACCAGCTGGCTCCTTTAACAAGCCAGCCATAAGGATATCCAGCTGTTGCATACACAGAGCTTCTCCTAACTCCGATGAAGACAAACCTGAGGTTCCCCCCAGAGTTCCCATACCTCCTAGGCCGGTAAAGCCAGACTATAGAAGATGGTCAGCAGAAGTTACTTCGAGCACCTATAGTGATGAAGACAGGCTTCCCAAAGTACCGCCAAGAGAACCTTTGTCACCAAGTAACTCGCGCACACCGAGTCCCAAAAGCCTCCCATCTTACCTCAATGGGGTCATGCCCCCAACACAGAGCTTTGCCCCTGATCCCAAGTATGTCAGCAGCAAAGCCCTGCAGAGACAGAACAGCGAAGGATCTGCCAATAAGGTTCCTTGCATTCTGCCCATTATTGAGAATGGGAAGAAGGTTAGTTCAACACATTATTACCTACTACCTGAGCGGCCACCATACCTGGACAAATATGAAAAATTTTTTAGGGAAGCAGAAGAAACAAATGCAGGTGCCCAAATCCAGCCATTACCTGCTGACTGCAGTATAGCTTCAGCCACAGAGAAGCCAGACTCAAAAACAAAAATGGATCTGGGGGGCCACGTGAAGCGTAAACATTTCTCCTATGTGGTTTCTCCTTAGACCTTGGGGTCATGGTTCAGCAGAGGTTACATAGGAGCAAATGGTTCTCAGTTTTCTATTTTGATTGAAGTTCACAGAAAAATCCCTTAAATTGCAAAATAGTTGAACTCTGTCTTAATGTGGAAGGTTTAGAGCAGTTGTGAGATGCTATTATGCTGAGAAACCCTGATTTTGTTAGCATTGGAAAAATTCTTTCAAGTCTATAATTTAAAGATGTGATGGTGGGGAGGGGAGGATGGGAAAGCTTTTTATATATGCATACGTGACATACCTATATATAAACTCGCAGTATAACCATAGACCATAGCTGCAGGTTAACCCATCAGTTACTATCTTAGAGTAATATACATTCAGAATAGTAAACTCAAGGGGGAGAAAGGAGTCCTGATAGACTGAATATTGAGCAAATGGAAGACAATACAGTATTGTTTAGATCAGAATCATTAAAAAAAATTTTGTTTAATAAGTTTGAAGATTTCTGGCTTTTAGGCCTGTTCTATTTTGTTTCATTTATTTTTGCAGGCAGTCTTTTCCATGGAGGGCAGGGTATCCATTCTTTACCGTGGGTGTACCTACCTAGGTGAAAAATAACCCCAAGGCCTCGTACTTCCAGGTTTCATGTTGCATCTTGTTGAGGGAGGGAGAGCAGCTTACTTGGCAACCATATTGTCACCTGTACATGTCATACATCTTGAAAAATAAAACGATAATAGAACTAAAAAAAAAAAAAAAAAAAAAAGAAAATGGTTTGGCTATAAATGCATAGATTTATATCTGGGTTCTTAATCTGTTCTGTTGGTTTTTATGTCTGTTTTTCTGGCAGTACCATGCTGCTTTGGCTACTATAGCTTTGTATTGTATTTTCAAGTCAGGTAGTATGATGTTTCCAGCTCTGCTCTTTTTGGTCAGGAATGTTTTGCCTACTTGGGGTCTTTTATAGTTCCATATGCATTTTAGAATTGTTTTCTCTCTGTCTGTGAAAAATGTCCTAGTATTTTGGTGAGGATTGCATTGTATCTGTAACTTGCTTTGGGTAGTGTATTAGTCTGTTCTCATGCTACTAATAAAGACATACCCCAGACTGGGTAATTTATAACCTCTGCCTCAACTGAACCTTGAGACAAGGTTCAATTCTTGTCTTCTGCATACCCACAGGACCGACACCATGTAGAAGCTGCTAAGGCTTGGAGCTTGCACCCTCTGAAGCAACAGCCCGAGCTTTACTTTGGCCCCTTTTCGCCATGGCTGGTGCTGCTGAGACACAAGGCACCAAGTCCCAAGGCTGTACACAGCAGGATGGCCCTAGACCCAGCCCACAAAATCATGTTTTCCTCCTAGGCCTTCCTCCTGTGATGGGAGGAGCTGCCATGAAGGTCTCTGACATGCCCTGGGGATATTTTCTCCATTGTCTTGGTGATTCACATTTGGCTCCTTGTTACTTATGCAAATTTCTGCCACTGGCTTGAATTTCTCTCCAGAAAATGGGTTTTTCTTTTCTATCACATTATCAGGCTGCAGATTTTCCAAACTTTTATGCTCTGTCACCTCTTTAATGCTTTGCTTCTAAGTAATTTCTTCTACTAGATGCCCTAAATCATCTCTCTCGAGTTCAAAGTTTTACAAATCTCTAGAGCAGGGGCAAAATGCTATGTCACCACTCTCTTTGCTGAAACATAGCAAGTGTCCCCTTTATTACAGTTCCCAACAAGTTCCTCATCTCCATCTGAGACCATTTCAACTTGGACTTCATTGTCCATGTCACTATCAGCATTTTGGTCAAAGTCATTCAACAAGTCTCTAGGAAGTTTGAAACTTTCCCACATCTTCTTGTCCTCTTCTGGCCCCTCCAAACTGTTCCCAGTTCTGCCTGTTACCCAGTTCCAAAGTCACTTCCACATTTTCGGTTATCTTTACAGCAGTGCCCCACTCCTGGTACCCATGTACTGTATTAGTCTGTTCTCACACTGCTAATAAAGACACACCTGAGGCTGGGTTATTTATAGAGAAGTGGTTTAATGGTCTCACAGTTCCACATGGCTGGAGAGGCTGCACAATCATGGTGGAAGGCAAAAGCAAATCTGTGTCTTACATGGAGGCAGGCAAAAGAACTTGAGCAGGGGAACTCCCATTTTTCTTTTTCTTTTTTAATTTTTTTCCATTTTTTGAGAATGAGTCTCACTCTATCTCCAAGGCTGGAGTGCAGTGGCACAATCTCAGCTCATTGCAACCTCCATCTCCCATGTTCAAGTGATTCTCCTGCCTCAGCCTCCCAAGTAGTTGGGACTACAGGCATGTGCCACCATGCCTGGCTAATTTTTGTATTTTTAGTAGAGACAGGGTTTCACCATGTTGGTTAGGCTGGTCTCAAACTCCTGACTTCAAGTGATCCACCCACTTGGGCCTCCCAAAATGGTAAGATTAGAGGTGTGAGCCACCGTGCCCAGCAGAAACTCCCATTTTGAAAACCTTGTGAGACTTAATCAGACCTTGTGAGACTTAATCACTACCACAAGAACAGTATGGGTGAAACCACCCCCATGATTCAATTATCCCCATTTGACTCCCCTGACTTGACACATGGAGATTATTACATTTCAAGGTGATATTTGGGTGGGGACCTCTAAGCCATATCAGGTAGTTTTGTCATTTTAACAGTATGAATTCGTCCAACCCTAGATGCCCTTTGTTTCTTTCTCTTGCCAAATTGCGCTGGCCAGGACTTCCAATACTGTGATGAATAAAAGTGATGAAAGTGGGCATCATTATCTTCCAGATCTTAGTGGAAAGGCCTTCAATTTTTTCACATTCAGTAAAATGTTAACGGTGGCTTTGTCATATATGCCACTTATTATGTTGAGGTATGTTCCTTCTATACCCAGTTAAAATTTTTTTTTTAACTTTTGTGAGTACATAGTAGATGTATATATTTATGTGGTATATTTAATATTTTGATACAAACATTCAATGTGTAATCATTGGGGGAAATGAGGTATCCATCACCTCAAGCATTCATCATTAGTTTTACATACCTTCTAATTATACTCTTTTAGTTATTGTAAAATGTACAGTTAAATTGTTATTGACTATAGTTACTCTCTTGTGCTATCAAATACTAGATCTTATTAATTTTTTCTATGTTTTTGTACCCATTAACCAGCCTCCTTCCACCCTCAACCTACCTAACTGCCCTTTCCATCCTCTGGTAATCATCATTCTACTCTCTGTCTCCATGAGTTCAATTGCTTTAATTTGTATTATTTGTATTTTTTTTTTATTTTTAATTTTTGTGGGTAATTATAGGTGTTTATTTTTTTATGGCATACATGAAACGTTTTGAAACAGGCATGTGATGTGAAATAATCACATCATGGAGAATAGGGTTTCCATCACCTCAAGCATATATCTTTTCTGTTAAAAACAATCCAATTACAAATTTTAAATTATTTTAAAGACTACAGTTATGATTGACTATTGTCACCCTATTGTGCTATCAAATAGTGGGTCTTATTCTAATTTTTTATACACATTAACTATCCCCGGCCGGGTGCGGTGGCTCACGCCTGTAATCCCAGCACTTTGGGAGGCTGAGGTGGGTGGATCATGAGGTCAAGAGATCGAGACCATCCTGGTCAACATGGTGAAACCCCGTCTCTACTAAAAATACAAAAAATTAGCTGGGCGTGGTGGTGCGTGCCTGTAATCCCAGCTACTCAGGAGGCTGAGGCAGGAGAGTTGCCTGAACCCAGGAGGCGGAGGTTGTGGTGAGCCGAGATTGCGCCATTGCTCTCCAGCCTGGGTAACAAGAGCAAAAACTCTATCTCAAAATGAAACAAAACAAAACAAAACAAAACTATCCCCACTTCCTCCTCAGGGTCCCACTACCATTCTCAGCCTCTGGTAACCATCCTCCTACTCTTTGTCTCCGTGTGTTCAATTGTTTTGATTTTTAGATCCAACAAAGAAGTGAGAATATGCAAAGTTTGTCTTTCTGTGCTTGACTTATTTTACTTAATACAATGACCTCTGGTTCCATCCATGTTGTTGCAATTAACAGAATCTCATTATTTTCTATGACTGAATAGTACTCCATTGTGTATATGTACCATATTTTATTTATTAATTTGTCTGTCTATGGATACTTGCATTGCTTCCAAATAAATACTGCTATTGTGAATATACATGGGAGTGCAGATATCTCTTCAATATGCTGATTTCCTTTCTTTTGGATAAATACCCAGCAGTGGAATTTCTGGATCATATGGTAGTTCTATTTTTAGTTTTTGAGGAACCTCCAAACTGTTCCGCATAGTGGTTGTACTAACTTACATTTCCACCAACAATGTGTGAGGGTTCCCTTTTCTGCACATTCTCACCAGTATTCATTATTACCTGTATTTTTGATAAAAAAAATTGTAATTGTGGTGAGATTATTTTTTATTTCAATGTTTTATTTTAGTACTTTCATAGTTTGAGGTCTTAGATTTGTCATTAATCCACTTTGATTTGATTATTGCATGGTGAAGGATAGGAGTCTAGTTTCATTCTCCTATATACATATATCCAGTTTTCCCAGCACCATTTACTGTAGAGAGTATCCTTTTCCTATTGTATGTTCTTGGCACCTTTGCTGAAAATGAGTTCATTGTAGATGTATGGATTTATTTCGGGTTCTCTATTGTATGCCATTGGTCTCTGTGTCTGTTTTTATTGTAGCACCACACTGTTTTGGTTACTATAACGCTATAGTATAGTTTGAAGTTAGGCAATGCGATTCAGTTTTGTTCTTTATGCTCAGGGTAGCTTTGGCTGTTCTGGGTCTTTTGTGATTTCATGTTAATTTTAGGTTTTTTTTTTTTTTCTCTCTAATTCTGTGAAGAATGTCATTTGTGTCTTAATAGGCATTGCACTGAATCTGCAGATTGCTTTGGATAGTATGGACTTTTCAACAATATTGATTCTTCCAATCCGTGAACATAGCATATCTTTCCATTTTGTTGTGTGTCCTTTTTTAATTTCTTTTATCAGTTTTTTTATAGTTTTCCTTGTAGATTTACTTCTTTAGTTAAGTTAATTCATAAGTATTTAATTTTATTTGTTGCTATTGCAAATAGGCTTACTTTTTAATTTTTTTTTTTCAGATTGTCCACTATTGGCATACAGAAATGCTACTATTTTTTGTATGTTGATTTTGTATCCTGAAACTTAATTTGTTTATAAGTTCCAATAATTTTTGATAGTCTTAAGGTTTTTCCAAATACGAGATTATATCATCTGCAAAGAGAAATAATTTGACTTGTTTTCCAATTCAGAGACCTTTATTGCTGTCTTGTCTGCTTGATCTAGTTATGACTTCCAGTACTAGTAAATAATTGTGGTGAAATAGACATCCTTGTCACAGTTCCAATCTTAGAGGAAAAGCTTTCAGTTTTTTCCCTTTCATTATGATACAAGCTTCAGGTTTGTCATATATGGCTTTTATCATATTGAAGTATGTTCTTTCTATACCCAGTTTTTGAGGGTGTTTATAATAAAGGGATATTGAATTTTATCCAAAGCTTTTCAGCATCAATGGAAATGATCCTATGGTTTTTGTCCTTCATTCTGTTGATATAATGTAACACATTGATTAATTTGCCTATGTTAAATCAACTTCGCATCCCTGGAAATAATCTCATATGGTCATAATGAATGATCTTTCTATCGTGTTGT